AAAGAGGGGTAATGCAACATTGAATAATACACACCTCAAGTGAAAGAGCCAGAGTAAAGACTATAGCCCATCCTGTCATGAGAACATAGCCACCCATCAACATCAGCCTCCTACCCAACCTTTCTATCAACAGGTTCTGCACACACACACAAACACACACACACACACACACACACACACACACACAGAGAGACAGATTTAAAATTAATGTGTGGCCTTGTCATTCTACACAGAATTATTCAGTATTCAGTTTCACTATTAAAATGGTAATCTAGGTCCTGCAACCAAATTATATCTTGGCAAAAGGGACTAAAAGGTTTGTCCAGCCCTGACTGATCAGCCCAGAATTCGAGATGAATTAATTCACTCAAACTATGCAAGTGGGTCAAAGGATTGCCTGTACAGTTCTGGGACAGTTACATAATTGATAACAGATGAATGGAAGACTCACACATAGAATGCAAGCGGTGAATTCACACATCCCGGTGCCAATGGCCATATATTGTATCTGTCCTGCAGATATACCCGCTTCTTGGAACACATATGATGCATAGAAGTAAATCTGAGGATTGAAAAAAATGGTGCTTAATCTTTTGAAATTTTGAGTGTGCAAAACACACACACACACACACACACACACACACACACACAGACTTTAAATACTTCTGAAGCATTTTGAGTTATGTAAAAAAGTGTTATGTACAGGAGAGATTTACCAAAGCTTTATGCAAGGCAAGTCAATTAGTAATTTGCTGTTTTAGTTCCTCATTTAATTTACAGGAAAGAATCGAATATGTTTTTCTAAGGTTTTAAACAGGTAACAATTAACTACAAATGTTGAATAACTTAAGAGAATTTACTAAATAAATGTTTCTTTTATCACAATATTAGAAGTGACTATATAACATTAATACTGAGCATTTTTAAAGATACAAATGATATTCATTACTGTTCATGTTTGTGGTCAGTAAGATCTTTTAATGTTTATAAAAGAGTCTCTTATGCTCACCAAGGCTACATTTATTTGATACAGTAAAAACAATAGCATTGCAAAATTTAAAATAACTGTTTTCTATTTTAATATATTTTAAAATATAATTAATTCCTGTGATGGCAAAGCTCAATTTTCAGCAGCCACTACTCCAGTCTTCGGTGTCGCATGATCATTCAGAAATCATTCTATGTTCATTTGATGCAAGAATAATTTCTTATTATCAGTTTTGGAAACAGTTGTGCTGCTTTTGTGGAAACAGTTATGTAAATTTTTGAACTTTTTTGAACTGAATGAATAAATGAAATAATATTTTTTAAAAACACCAATTTTTTTAACATAAGTACAATTTTTTTTACAAATTATAAGTTTAATATTTTATCTAATATTAAGTTATGAACTAATCTATTTTAACTTCTAAATAAGTGCTTTGTGTGTCTGTTTGCATGCATTTTTATCCCCCAGAATCATGAAGACCCTTTCAAATATTAACATAAAGCCTGCAACATAAGCATTCATTCTCATGATCGGCTGGGTGTGTTTTTTTTGGTTAACATTCACTTTATGAAGCAATGCACCGGTGATCCAGTTACACTTGAATTTCCAACTAAGAGCCAAAGATATAATGACACAGAATTGGACAGAGGCAGGGACTCACCGAGTCATTACCACACAGTTGCATGGCACTGCTCAGGACCGCCACAGTGATGAGCTGCCAGCGGACTCTGCGGTCAGTAAAGAGCTCCCATGGCTGTTTGGCACGTTCTCCCTTTGTTTCATTCTGTTCCTGCAGAATCTCATCCAGCTCTTCTCTCTGCACCTCACAGCCTCGCAGACGCTGCAGTGCTGCGGAACAAACATGATTAATGGCTATATGATCATGCGTAAGAATTACATGCTTTGTGAAACACAATAGGAGATATCTAACGTTTTGTACTATTTTTTTCTATCCAAAAGAAGCGAATGGTTTACTTTCATTGTATGGCCAAAAGCAGCTTTGACATTCCGGAAAAGAATTTGAATTATCACTTTTGTTTTAAACTGTTAAAAGTTATTGAAGTACATATAATATTGTTTTATCTGTACACTCTTAAAAATAAAGGTTCCCCAAAGAACTTTTCATCGAGTACCCTATTGAAAAAAAACAGCATATGCTGGTTAGGTATGTTTTGAAGCATGGCAGCTGGTTTGAGCTGGTTCAAGCAGGTCCTGAGCTGGTCCTAAGCTGGTCCTAAGCAACTATCTCCTTCTCAGGACCAGCTCATAACCAGCTTATAACCAGCTCATGGCCAACTAAGGACCAGCTCAAACCAGCTGCCATGCTTCAAAACATACCTAACCAGCATATGCTGTTTTTTTAACAGGGTAGTTCTTAAAAGATTCTTTTTCTTCTTCTTTTTTGTAATCTAAAGAACCGTTTTCCACTATAAATAACCTTTTGTGCATTTGAAAGGTTCCATGGATGTTAAAAGTTCTTCACAGAATCATAGATGTCAAAAAAGAACCTTTACTTTTCAAGAGTGTAGACTTCAGTGAGGCTGTTATACTCTGTATTGCAAAGAATGTAGCAATATACAGTATAACTGCACCAATACTTAAAACTCAGGCTCTCATACCCATTAGGCAGGCCTCTTTGTCTCCACAGTCAATGAGGAGGTAACGGGGACTTTCTGGAAACCATGGCAAGGTGAGGAGTTGGATGAAGCCTGGGATAGCATTACTAGCCAATAAGTACTGCCAACACGGCTCACTACCTAACAACTCTCTGAAAAAAATACAGGCATTTTAAAATCAGTCATTTCAGTCATGCTTGACTATTTAATTTGGGCAAAAAATAACATTGGCATGTTACATATTTTCAATGCACCTCATAAAGTACTCAATACATTTAAAAATATTCTTCACATTACATAAGGAAATGGTAATTGCTCTCATTAGCGTCGTAAGAGATGCGTCAAATATATAACTTACTTCAGACTGACCACCTGTCCCAACACCAGACCAAAAGAAGTGAAGACAGCTGAGGACAGGGACACAGCCCCTCGTAAGTGCTTCGGTGCACTCTCACCAAAATACATGGGCTGTACATTCATACTGATGCCTGAATAGAAACAGAGAATATGGTTTATAATAATACCAGGAAGAAACTAGTAATCTCAATGGCAAAATATAAAGGGTCCATGAAACTGCATTTGCAGGTAAAATATATACACAGTACCTGCATTTATGCCAACCAAAAATCTGGAGATGATAATCATCTCAAATGACTTTGCTGTTCGGCTTAACAATGCAAGCAATGAACTTGATAAGAGAAAGACATTGTTCAGCAACATAGTCTTCTTCCTTGGAAACAAGAACATAACAGGGCATACTTTCAAGATTTATTACTTATTTAAAGTTTACTAATTTTTTTACATTTAAATCATCAAGTCTAAATAAATATAAATAAAACAATTTGCATGGAACATGAACTTTATCATGTAAATTATATTGTATAACAACAAGATTAACCATACCTCCCGAAACGTACTGACATTGGCCCTGCTATCAGGGCCCCAATAAAGCCTCCCAATGAGAAACTGGAAACAATAAAGGTCCATATCAGCGTGAGCTCGTAAACCCCCAACTGTATTCCCCATCGCTCCAGAAATGTCTCATTGACAAAGTTTTGAATGAACTGCAGGAAGGAATACAGAACAGAAAACTGGTAACTGGCCTGAACAGACACAGAGACAACTAATATGAAATTAATTTAAACATTTTTACTCTTTCACAACACAAAGTCGATGAAACACTTACAACAGTCGGTGCATTCATTATGGCCAGGTTGTATCCATATTGTAGAGTTCCCCCAATAGCTGTAGAGGTCACCATTAATACCAAAGTGTATGCATGACCCTGTGTAGACAAATAAACTAACAATAACAGGCATTTAATGCGACAAAACAAAGAAATCAACTTCACATCAAAAATAACTACAATTAAATTATTAAATTGATTTACTATTAAACATTTAGTTTCTAAGTGTCAACGTTATGTGTAGACCTGTGGAAGGTATTTTTTAAAAGTCCAATGATGTGCTCTACAAATTTGTTTTAAATGTATTTAAAACTAATATTATTATTTAGTATTATTAAAAATTATATTTTATTCAAATGGAATTATTAGTAGCAGTTATATGTGACTTAACAGTGAAACTCACAACTTATTTATTTAATTTAAAAACAAAAATCTGACTAAAAACAACACCAGCAATAAACAGTCTACCTTCTTCTCCTTTGTGGTCATGCTGTCCTCTTTATATGTATTAATATTGCTTTGAGAAAAAGAATCCAGATGATGAAATCCAAGAATAAAGAAGGTAGTTGTCAGTTTGTGCTCGCCATTAAATGAGACACTGATGCTCTGAGAAAGGTGCGTAGAAAAGAGAGTTCGAGACTATGAGACACGTCTACAAATGTTACAGCTAATAATAAGTAACCTCAGAATAGTTTAACCAACCACCCTCTTGACTAGATAAAACAATGTTGTAAAAGATTTTTTGTATATGAATTCTCTTGAGAACTCCTGTTGAATTAATCTATCCTGCTCTTTACAAACTATACATTGGCACTATGTCCACATGAAAGTCCAAGTCCATTTGAAAGAAAATTAGATCGAATTAAACTGTAGTTCAGCTCCACCTATCGGAATATAAATATAACTGTGTAGGTACAGTAAAACGGAATATTTACGTGTTATTTTTATTTATTTATTATTATTATTATTATTTATTTTTTTTTTTAGAAATAAATACATTTAGCTTGTTTTACATTCAATCATCACATGTAGGCTACTTAAATGTTTATGGTATAGAACAGCAGTAATAATATTAAGCCTATCCATACATTCCATTAGGGGGCAGCATAACATGATCATATTTTGGCACTTTTGAATTTTGCACTGGAACAAAAAAGTTTAAGGAATAGGTTTTTGGTTGACCTATTAATAAATTAGCATTTAATACATTCTTTGGATCAGCTAAAAAAAATGCTCTTGAGATCAGTTTAGGTAACACAAAGAAATGCATAACTGACCTAAGACCTCTGTGGACATTTGGGTTCTTCCCCTTAAGTGTTGTAACAGCAGACCACTAAGAGCGATCAACCAAATCAATCCAGTCTTGAATCATTTTAACTAGGTAAGGCAATATGCCTACCTGTGGGAGTGGATTAGAAGAAGCCACGCCACTTCTAACATTTATGACAATAGAAATATAGATAAGATGTTGCCAGGTCAGTGTAACCAGGACCCTACTCCCTCTAAAGAAATAACTGACCAATAATAAGGAGCTGTATCTCACGCATTTCTAGTAAACGATTAACAATGATTTTAAAACTTAATTCACTCTGTAGTTAGTTCTGAATATCAACGCAGTCACATTTTTTTTACATACTTAAAAAAAGAAAAATAATTATTACATCACTTACATCGAGAAAAACACTATCAGATCTCCATCAACGCACGCGCGCACAACAGAAGGATGTCAAGGGTGTGGAGAGGGTTCTGTGCTAGAAGTGATTATTAGTAGTAACGTAGTTTTGTAGTTAACAATGTTTTACCTCTTATCTCGTGATAGTGAATTAGAAATAAATATATATAGTTAGGGCTTCATATGACGTCAGTGGTAAACGGCGTTGCTCAAGTTTGACGTCAAGTTCAAAATACCTGAGTCGTGGCATGGCGTCGTTTGTCGAGCAGGACACATGAAACTATGATGGAAGACATACACAGTTTTACTATGGAAGTCAGATTTCTAACCTGTGCAACGGACTATCAATAATATTGTCCAATCTAAAGAATACGAGCGTGCCTTCATCTATGTTGGCAAAGATAAATGATTTAAAATAAAGAGACGACGCTGCAAATCCTTCACCAGCAAGTCACATAAACGCTTATAATGATGTATCGTGCTTTTTGGGATACAATATTCCTTCTCACCGGTGAGTAAAAGTGTTTGATGTTGTGTTCATTCAATTTACTGGCATTATTTTTTATTAAGTAACTGAAATGTAAATAATACGTCAATTAATGAAGCAAAATATTAGAGTTAAACGTATGAAAAAGTTTAGCCTAAATAACCCACATTGCCTCAAGTGGAAACTTAGTCAAACTCTCAGAATCTTTTTAATTCAGAGGTTGAACTGAATCGGAGAGCTGTGAATAAACTTTTACAGTTATTTTATGTTGTGCATGTGATTTTCCAGTAGTGTTTTATATTATAATTTTAGCATCGTGATTTGACACTCTAGTCATCAGTATTAAAAACAATATTAGGGGTCCACTTCTCTCCTGATTAGTAATGACAGACTAATGTTATATAATTATTCTGCTTTGTTGTACAGATTTTTTAGCTTGATAGTATGAAGAATGTGCTGTGTTTATCCAAGGCACTGAAGAAACAGTGGTTTGCTGTCCTTTTTTGTCTAGCAGCTTCTTTGGCTCAGTAGTCTTGCTCCTGTCAAGGTTAACAGAGCTTAGTTTAAATATAGAGCCATTCTTTAGCGTCCATCTTTTATGGCTTTGTTTCTACAATGAAAGCAAGTTCTTAACTCAGCAAACAGATTCAGAGAAATTCTGTAAAAAGATTGAAGGAATTTTAAAATCAGCTGGACATAATGTGTGTTGTTGCTTTCTGGGCTTTTAATATTAAGCAAATGTTTATGCATTAGATCATGACTGGGCATTTTTAAACCTGCCTGATGCAGGATGCTCTATGGTAAAGCATTAACATAACAGTACGAATTTCTTGTGCAAACAATTTTACAAATAAATTTGATTTGATTTGACTTGACTTGATGCCCCATAAATAGCTACTTTTAATGACGGAGTGATTGCATCTGTATTGCAAGCACCTGTTTTATTCTTCAAGCATATAGGCAAGGTTTCCAGTAATAAGTGTCCCATTATCTCAGTAAGTGGTTTTGGTACAATGATGGTTAAGGAACGGCAGCTGGTAAGAAAACCCTCAGTAGGAATACCCTTGCAATGGTAACAAAGGGTTCAATTCTGTCATTAATTATTTACCCTCATCTTGGTCCAAAACGTTGTGACTTACTTTCTTTACATGTAGGCCTAGATATTTTGAGAAATGTCTCAGTGTTTTTTGTCCTTACAATGAAAGTGAATGGTCATCAAAACTATTTGGTTTCCAGCATTCTTTAAAATATCACCTTTTGTGTTGCACAGAAGAAACAAATGCTTACTACCAGGAATTTATTTTTCTGTTGAAAATGAATATATTTTATTTAAAATATTGATTGATGAAGGGTGAAGGAGGAAGAATGGGGTTGGTGTGACCAGGTTCAAACTCCACAACTCTTTTTATGCAGCAAATATGTCGAACTTAACAATGCTCCGACAAGAATTTAATCTAGTCAATTTATAAATGTATTTATGATTTAATTGTTATCGCTGCATGGCATGTGGACACTAAAACGTTATAAGACGTTTACACAAAGAATAAGAACATGCCTTGAGGTACCAGACTCTCTTTCAAGTCATTTTAGTGGCACAAGAATGAACATTAGACAGATGTTGTATCAGTATGCGTGGCCTTTACTTAAAAAGTTTAACTTTACTTTTTGCAGACTGTCAATCTTTAAAAAAAATTATAGCTCCAAGCTGGGATAATTGGGGTCCAAGCACAACCCAGTGGGCAAATTATGTTGAAAAGACATCAGATTGACATCAAAAGACAGGTCAAACATGCAAATCAAACTGATTTAAAAAACATGAAACGACGTTGATTTGATGTGAACGGCACTTCTTGAACTTGAACGGCAAAAATATTGGCCTACATATATTAAACCAATTTCAGTGTGAAATTAACTCAAACTCGGGATGTATTAATATGAATAGCATTTAACATTAAATCGATTGAGAGGTCTTAAGTATATTTGTGACCCTGGACCACAAAACCAGTCTTAAGTCGCTTGGGTATATTTTTAGAACTAGCCAAAAAATCATTGTATGGGTCAAAATTATCGATTTTTCTTTTATACCAAAAATCATGAGTAAAGATCCATGTTCCATGAAGATATTTAGTAAATTTCCTACTGTAAATATATCAAAACTTAATTTTTGATTAGTAATATGCATTGCTAAGGACTTCATTTGGACAACTTTAAAGACGATTTTCTCAATATTTAGATTTTTTTTGCACCCTCAGATTCCAGATTTTCAAATAGTTGTATCTCGGCCAAATATTGTCCTATCCTAACAAACAATACACCAATGGAAAGCTTATTTATTCAGCTTTTTTGTTCTATTAAAGTTCTATTTTGACCCCTTATAGTAGGTGTTTTTTTTTTGTTTTTTTTTTTTTGAAGGAGGGGGCACAACAATACTATTCTGCTTAGGGCACCCATTTGGCCAGCAGCGGCCCTGGGTCCACTGATTAGGTTTTGCCATCCCATAGCGCAGTCACATGACTTTTTTGATGTGTATGGAGGAATTTACTCGGCAAATGCGTTTCCATCTCCTTTTATTCGCATTAACCCTTTTTCGCACTAGTCAAAAACCACCTCAAGCGAGCGTAACAACTTTTTTGCGAATGAAGGGATTTTTATTCGCAATTTGCCATTTCCATCACTCGTTTCTGATGTAGACGATGTACGATGTAGACAGCAACTCTAACCCCTGTACAGATAGCTCTCTGCAAGGGTTGTTCGACTAATTGTTCACAGTAATTTGGTATTAGTGTATTGCTACGCTAATGGTACAATACTCTAATAAGCATATCAGAAATTTCAGTATTGATTAAATTACGTTTATTTATAATAAACATTTTCTTAACTCAACTGTCATGGTGGATTTTTTTTCACTTGGCTCATTGCAGTGCAATTCTACGCATATAAGATGCCTTAAAACTCTCTTGCTAGGTAACTTTTGGAGCAGAGTGATACATTTTGTGATTTGTGGTGGTTCTGCCATTTTCTGTAAATGTACGAGTGAATTAAGCACGCCATGACAAAGATTCCTTCGGCAGTGTCTTACCTGTGTATGCGGAGAGATCCGCATCACAAATCCACTTTAATTTATCCCAGTCTTTCTCTAGCAGCTCTTAAAATAGACTAAAGGTCAGAAGTCAGTTACTCCCACTGATGTTCCAGGGCATTTTAATTGATCTCTGAGTCTAAAGCAAGTGGGTTTTAAGTAGCTATTTCTCATTTGCGCTGTACGCCACTCAAGCCTTTTTCTCTCTAGTGTGTGATGCTGTTGTTCCGCTGTTTTCTCATTGCTATAATGGTCATGAGTCTGGCAATTTTTGACTTTGTTGGATCCTCATTTTCACATTTGGGTAAGCTTTTCACAATACTAGATGTCACAGAGTCAGTAGCAGTTGTATTTGAATAGTTTTGAACACCTCATCCTAATCTACTTAGCTGTTCTCAACAATATTAGTTTCATTGTAGTACTTTTTTTTTATATGTGCTGCTGTGTTTTATTTGTAGGCTCCCTTTTTACATATGGGCAGGTGCAAGAGAATTCTAACTCAACAACGACCATTGCAACCACCACAACAACAACTACCACAACAACCACCTCCAGCACGACGACAACCACTACTACCACACGTGTCAAAAGTATGCTCTGTCTGCCTTTTCCTTTATGCTCAACTCATTTTGGCTTTCATAGACTGAAATCCAATGTGTATTTTTCTGAATAAGAATTCATATATTCCATGAATATGGAATATATATATTAAATGTTAGACTGCAGCCTCAGAAATTAAACAGAAAATATTTCAAATGTTTAATTTATATAAAATGAACATTTAATATTTAGGATTATATAATAATTAGTTTGACGTCTAGTGGTTGTCAACTTTTTCTAAGTTTGACAGATATAGATCCTATTGTGAATTATTCATCCATGTAGATGTTTTTTCTTTTTGACTTTTTTTTGTCCTTGTAATGTTTAATCAATGTGTCAAAACTTGATCTTCCCATGAAAATGACAGACTTCTTAATGGTGATGTATGACAGACACCGCCAATCATTTTGTCTGCTAACCCTGCCCCTCAACAATCATCTGCAATAGTGTATTAATTTTTCAGTGCAGTGGTCACATCTCAAAATCCTATCAACAACCGACGGATAGAACCAAGCCCCCATCCTACATTTGTTCTTTTCGATAATCTTTTACACTTAGATGTGTGCTAGAATACGCAATAAATATGTTGTTACTTATGTTTCATCACAACTTTAAGTATTTTCATTGACTGTATTTTGAAAAAAAAAAAAAAACAGTTTAGATTCTATTTTGTCCTCAATTCATAAAAAAATGCTAGAAGTGGACACATGGTAATAGTAGGCTTCTAAAACAAAGACAGAAGATTTTAGTCATTGTCCATTAAAAATAGATTTTTTTATTCATTATACACAGTTTTTATCCTGTAGACCAGGGGTGTCAAACTCAATTCCTAGAGGGCCGTCAGGGCTGCGGCCCTCCAGGAACTGAGTTTGACACCCCTGCTGTAGACAAAGCTCACAATGATTAGAAACGGGAATCTGTCAATTTCAAGAAAGCCCCTCAGATCTTGACCGGTAGTCCTGGCTAAGTCTTGAAAAAATAAAATACTTTTTCTTGTCTTACACCATGTCTGCTTTTGCACTTTCTTTAGATCAAAAGTGTGCCTTAGGGAGGATAGAGTCTGAGAAACCGGCAAGTCTTGAAAAAATAAAATCTAAAGGGCTGTGATCTTCCAGATAATATAAAATGATTTTTATATTTTAAATATAAATTTAAATATACAATTTACTGATTGGCTAAGAACTTGGAATTTCTTTTCTTCCTTCCACTTCTTCAGTTTCCACCAGTGCCTTCCACAAAACATCACTAATTTGGCTCTAGCCTTGATGATAATAAAGGCTGGAAATGTAATATTAGTAGATAATTCTGTTTGTGTTAAAGTGGGGTCAGTAATGATGTAGTAATCTTATGTGCTGTTCACAAATTTATGATGAAATGCCAAGTTCTGTCATGAAACTCTAGATGGCGCAGGCTGATGGGTCATTAAAGGGGTCATATTACGCTGCTAAAAATAACATTGCACCAAGAGCTTGTAACACTCCAAAGAGAAAGGAAAAATTGAAATCGCATCATATGACCCCTTTAATGCAAAATTATGATATTCACAGCTTTAAACTACTGGGCATAATCTGATTGGTTTATGTTGCATACACAGCCAATAAGCTTGCTGCTTTACATTTAAATAGCTGGTTAGCATCCACTAGAGCATTTCGCAGCATGCTTTTAAGCCTGGGACACACCAAGCCGACGGTTGGCCATCGGTGAGCGTCTGTCGGGCTAGTTTGTTTGTTGTGTTCCTCATGTCAGCAGCACTTTGCCCGATTCAACATGTTGGTGCGAATGAGAACTCTGATTTGATGCTCAGTTTAGCGAACGAGTCAGTGCCTGAGAATAAAGCAAAAGTGATGAAAATGAGTAAGTAAATGAAGGCGGCACAGACAGAAGGCCGTTCTAATGTTACTTGGTCTTTCCCAAGCATTCCAATATGTGAATATTTTCATAACAACATGACCCGCTTAAAATTAACAAAGTTATCAACGTAACTGATATTCAAAATGGTAAGCAAGCACTGCTTTGTTTACGTTTCGTATATCTGCGTATATCTCGTATATCCTAGTTTTGGTTTCTCCTTTTGAATGGCGAACATATACTATTTATAGCTGCTGATATGGACAGTTTAGGCGACAACAGTCGGCTTGGTGTGTCCCGGAAGATTTGCTCTGAAACCCTCCACCTTCCCCAGCTCCACCTGTATAGATCTGCTACTGGTTATTAAAAATGCTGCTTATGCAGCAGCAGTATGTCTTAAATATTCACAGCACCGTATTGGCAGTAGCAAGTTCCTGTACTTACTTAGCAGCAGCAATAATCTACAACAACAGCAATAACCAACAGCAGCAGCAATTCAGCAGCGTAGCAGATCTGTTCTGCCAAGACCAAATACATTAACGTTGTCATATCCATCACCATGCTAAAATTTTCTGAGAGTTGTCATGATAGAACTGAAATAATGGGCAGTGGTATTATTATTGGTCATCAGGCATAACATTTGCAAATACATTTTTAAGTAATTCTTCCATAGATCTTTATATATATTTTATTAAACAAGCAATTGTTATTTATGTCCATATTAAACCCAGCTTCTGTTTATTCTGTTCTTGAAGAATTTATAGTAGCCGCTGTCCACTCTCACTTCGATGACTGCCCGGACTCCCACAGCCACTTCTGTTTTCATGGCACATGCCGCTTTCTCATACTGGAGGAAACACCTGCATGCGTGTAAGTTCGAAGATGGTCTTTTTTCAAACTGAATATAAATTTTTTTCCATGTGTTTTTCCTGCGTTATTTCCTGCCATATATTTTTAGTCGCTATAGGGTATAGAGACTGGATAAGTGCCGTTTTATTTAATGCTGTCTCTGTCAGCATTGCTATGGCAGTTTTTATATGAAATCAAATGCTTTGAATCTTGATCACTGAAGAAAAAGATTAAGATATAAAAAATTAAATATCCAGAAGATTCCAGAAATCCTAATTCTATGATTGTAGTTGATGTCAGATTTTAAAAACAAATTAATTTTGTATTTTTACATAATAATGAGATTAAACGGCTAAACGGTCTGACATGCATTTTGATTGCTGACTGACTTGGATAAATGACAGCGTTTTTGTTAAGCTGTCCTTGTCAAGACAAGCATGTTTTGTCCTAAATTGTGTTTCCGTGTATAAATGTGGCAGAATAGCAGTATTCAAATCTGTGTTGGTGCTTGTGTCTGAGTTGGTATGAGTCCTAATGTTGTCAGGGAATTTATTGTTTTCTCTGTATCCACATCCGTATGTCATAGTTCACCACAAAATGTCAAATGAATTATAGTCAATTTTAATTTGATTGATTTTATGAGCATGATACTGGCAGATTCCTCATTTTGGAATGAAATGCTTTTACCTAACATCTATTGAATACTCATGTTTTCCCATGCATATTTTCATATTTGGCTTTAGTTTTATAAAGCCCTCTTTTTCAATTATAATAAGTCAGTCTTGTTTGTGTAGATGTCATCCTGGCTTTGTAGGTATGCGATGCGAACATGCAGATCTCTTGGCTGTGGTGGCGTCTAACCACAGGCAGCAGACCGTGGCCACCATGCTGGTGTTGTGTGTAGTGGGCAGTGTTCTACTCATGCTGCTCTGCACTTTACTAAAGTGAGTATTATTCATTTAGCACGCATTTAAATGTACTCATTTACCTGTATATCTGTAACTTTAAAATGTAATTTATTACTGTGACGGCAAAGATGTCATTACTCCAGTCTTCAGTGTCACATGATCCTTCACAAATCATTCTAATATGCTAACTTAATGCTCAAGAAACATTTCTTATTATTATCAATGTTGAAAACAGTTAATAACAAGTGCTCAATTTTTGAAATCTGATTATGTATACTAGCATATATCGTAATTTCCTAAGAGCAGGTTATTTGTTTGGTTTGATATCTGTCTTTGTTGAATTAACTGTGCAATACAGTTTTTTTGTGGAAGGAGAAAGAGGTCATTTGTAGAGTTCACACATTGTCTCTGTAGTTGTTGGTGGAGACGGGGTGGTTGTGGGCGAGGTAACACCATTTCGTGTTGGTCGGAGAAGCCTAGGAGTATTTTGACGGGTGGGACATCCTGCTGTCACTCAGAAACAGGTATTCTGGTGCTACATTTCCATTTTTACACAGCTTTTTGCTGAGCTGTAGTGTCATGTGTTAAGTGTCATGCGGTGTCTAATTATGATCAGCAACAGGGGGTGTTTGCATACTGAGACCAGCATATGCGTGAGGCCTTTAACTTTTAATGGCCTATGATTTGTCTTTGCTCAAGGGTTTAAGCTGTTAGTTTAGCCATCTGTTGTCACTGTCCTAAGACTGTCAATGATCATGAGACTAATAGTTGGTCATAGTGAAACATAGGCTAATAAACTTTTATTTGAAATTTGTAGGGCATAAAATGTGTCAGTGCTTTTAATTGGTTCTTTTGTCTAACTCATAGTTAAGTTAAAAAGATTGAAAACTGTTCTTCTACCCTTTTTTCTTTGAATTTTGAAAGATGTAGATAAACGCTGCCAGTTTGGACACACCTATTTATTATTTACGGTTTTATTTTTTTGTAAGAAGTCTCTTATGCTAAACATGCCATGTTTATTTAATCAAAATACAGTAAAAACAGCACTGTTGTTAAATATTATTACCATTTAAAATAAGTTTTGTATTTTATATATTTCAAAATGTAATTTATTTCTGCGATGCAAAGCTGAATTTTTCAGTCCAGTCAGTTTTCAGTGTCACATGATCCTTTAGAAATCATTCTGATATGCTGATTTAGTTCTGAAGAAACATTTCTTCTAATTATTATTATCATGAATATATATTTTTATAGATATAGTTTTTTTTGGAAACCATTATACTTTTTTGTTAGGATTCTTTGATGAATAGAAAGTTCAAAAGAACAGCATTTATTGCAAATGGAAATCTTTTGTAACAATTTAAAAGTCTTTCCCGTCTACTGTCCTTGCAGAATAATAGTATTAATTGCTTTCAAAAAACATTACTGATCCCAAACATTTGAACAGTAAATAAATACGATTTTGTTCTTAAGAAAAATCACATGTAGAAATCTACAAAACTGTTTTCAAAAATGTAAGTTTTAAAATGAAATGATTTTTTAAAAACAATTCAGTCAAGTGTATCTAAACTTTAGCCTGGTAGCATATTTCATGTTATGTTGTGAGTATATGTTCCTTGTCTTAGTGGGCAGATTATGTGTAATCACTGGAGGAACTGAATATCCCCAGACATAATTACGCAACTAGAAATGGAATTGTTGGAATTTTGTCCATACAAATACCCTCAGTTATCTCTGCCAGTCTGCTCACAGTGATGCTTGTTGACAGAGTATTGCAAACCTTTAATTAGATTTGTCAACAGGATGTTGTTACATACTTTGTCAGCATCGTCAGGCATTTCTAATTGTTAGATAGAACTGTGGCTGTTTCTGTTGTGTCGCGGAGCCAATGATACGACCCAACACTATCAGCGACCAGCACAGATCAGCTCTAGGCGTGACGAAGCGGATATCGTCCTCTTTTGGAAGACCAAACAAAGTAGTTTCGCTTTCACAACGAAGCACACAGCGTCTTCACGACATGGCGGCAGCGGCAACAATACTACAGTGAGAATAAAAGTTACGCCTTCTTTCTTTGTGTGAACATTTGGGCGGCGTTATGCAAATCTTCCCACATAGTGAGGTAGATATGTGGGGGTGTGTTAGAACGAGCCGTTTTAGGTAGGCGTGGTTAACTCTTAACTTTTATAAAGAATATCTCTTTGGATTTGAGACTTTAGTCTTTGCAACTTTACAGATCTTCTTTATGCACCAAGAGCTTGTAACACTCCAAAGAGAAAGGAAAAATTGAAATCGCATCATATGACCCCTTTAATGCAAAATTATGATATTCACAGCTTTAAACTACTGGGCATAATCTGATTGGTTTATGTTGCATACACAGCCAATAAGCTTGCTGCTTTACATTTAAATAGCTGGTTAGCATCCACTAGAGCATTTCGCAGCATGCTTTTAAGCCTGGGACACACCAAGCCGACGGTTGGCCATCGGTGAGCGTCTGTCGGGCTAGTTTGTTTGTTGTGTTCCTCATGTCAGCAGCACTTTGCCCGATTCAACATGTTGGTGCGAATGAGAACTCTGATTTGATGCTCAGTTTAGCGAACGAGTCAGTGCCTGAGAATAAAGCAAAAGTGATGAAAATGAGTAAGTAAATGAAGGCGGCACAGACAGAAGGCCGTTCTAATGTTACTTGGTCTTTCCCAAGCATTCCAATATGTGAATATTTTCATAACAACATGACCCGCTTAAAATTAACAAAGTTATCAACGTAACTGATATTCAAAATGGTAAGCAAGCGCTGCTTTGTTTACGTTTCGTATATCTGCGTATATCTCGTATATCCTAGTTTTGGTTTCTCCTTTTGAATGGCGAACATATACTATTTATAGCTGCTGATATGGACAGTTTAGGCGACAACAGTCGGCTTGGTGTGTCCCGGAAGATTTGCTCTGAAACCCTCCACCTTCCCCAGCTCCACCTGTATAGATCTGCTACTGGTTATTAAAAATGCTGCTTATGCAGCAGCAGTATGTCTTAAATATTCACAGCACCGTATTGGCAGTAGCAAGTTCCTGTACTTACTTAGCAGCAGCAATAATCTACAACAACAGCAATAACCAACAGCAGCAGCAATTCAGCAGCGTAGCAGATCTGTTCTGCCAAGACCAAATACATTAACGTTGTCATATCCATCACCATGCTAAAATTTTCTGAGAGTTGTCATGATAGAACTGAAATAATGGGCAGTGGTATTATTATTGGTCATCAGGCATAACATTTGCAAATACATTTTTAAGTAATTCTTCCATAGATCTTTATATATATTTTATTAAACAAGCAATTGTTATTTATGTCCATATTAAACCCAGCTTCTGTTTATTCTGTTCTTGAAGAATTTATAGTAGCCGCTGTCCACTCTCACTTCGATGACTGCCCGGACTCCCACAGCCACTTCTGTTTTCATGGCACATGCCGCTTTCTCATACTGGAGGAAACACCTGCATGCGTGTAAGTTCGAAGATGGTCTTTTTTCAAACTGAATATAAATTTTTTTCCATGTGTTTTTCCTGCGTTATTTCCTGCCATATATTTTTAGTCGCTATAGGGTATAGAGACTGGATAAGTGCCGTTTTATTTAATGCTGTCTCTGTCAGCATTGCTATGGCAGTTTTTATATGAAATCAAATGCTTTGAATCTTGATCACTGAAGAAAAAGATTAAGATATAAAAAATTAAATATCCAGAAGATTCCAGAAATCCTAATTCTATGATTGTAGTTGATGTCAGATTTTAAAAACAAATTAATTTTGTATTTTTACATAATAATGAGATTAAACGGCTAAACGGTCTGACATGCATTTTGATTGCTGACTGACTTGGATAAATGACAGCGTTTTTGTTAAGCTGTCCTTGTCAAGACAAGCATGTTTTGTCCTAAATTGTGTTTCCGTGTATAAATGTGGCAGAATAGCAGTATTCAAATCTGTGTTGGTGCTTGTGTCTGAGTTGGTATGAGTCCTAATGTTGTCAGGGAATTTATTGTTTTCTCTGTATCCACATCCGTATGTCATAGTTCACCACAAAATGTCAAATGAATTATAGTCAATTTTAATTTGATTGATTTTATGAGCATGATACTGGCAGATTCCTCATTTTGGAATGAAATGCTTTTACCTAACATCTATTGAATACTCATGTTTTCCCATGCATATTTTCATATTTGGCTTTAGTTTTATAAAGCCCTCTTTTTCAATTATAATAAGTCAGTCTTGTTTGTGTAGATGTCATCCTGGCTTTGTAGGTATGCGATGCGAACATGCAGATCTCTTGGCTGTGGTGGCGTCTAACCACAGGCAGCAGACCGTGGCCACCATGCTGGTGTTGTGTGTAGTGGGCAGTGTTCTACTCATGCTGCTCTGCACTTTACTAAAGTGAGTATTATTCATTTAGCACGCATTTAAATGTACTCATTTACCTGTATATCTGTAACTTTAAAATGTAATTTATTACTGTGACGGCAAAGATGTCATTACTCCAGTCTTCAGTGTCACATGATCCTTCACAAATCATTCTAATATGCTAACTTAATGCTCAAGAAACATTTCTTATTATTATCAATGTTGAAAACAGTTAATAACAAGTGCTCAATTTTTGAAATCTGATTATGTATACTAGCATATATCGTAATTTCCTAAGAGCAGGTTATTTGTTTGGTTTGATATCTGTCTTTGTTGAATTAACTGTGCAATACAGTTTTTTTGTGGAAGGAGAAAGAGGTCATTTGTAGAGTTCACACATTGTCTCTGTAGTTGTTGGTGGAGACGGGGTGGTTGTGGGCGAGGTAACACCATTTCGTGTTGGTCGGAGAAGCCTAGGAGTATTTTGACGGGTGGGACATCCTGCTGTCACTCAGAAACAGGTATTCTGGTGCTACATTTCCATTTTTACACAGCTTTTTGCTGAGCTGTAGTGTCATGTGTTAAGTGTCATGCGGTGTCTAATTATGATCAGCAACAGGGGGTGTTTGCATACTGAGACCAGCATATGCGTGAGGCCTTTAACTTTTAATGGCCTATGATTTGTCTTTGCTCAAGGGTTTAAGCTGTTAGTTTAGCCATCTGTTGTCACTGTCCTAAGACTGTCAATGATCATGAGACTAATAGTTGGTCATAGTGAAACATAGGCTAATAAACTTTTATTTGAAATTTGTAGGGCATAAAATGTGTCAGTGCTTTTAATTGGTTCTTTTGTCTAACTCATAGTTAAGTTAAAAAGATTGAAAACTGTTCTTCTACCCTTTTTTCTTTGAATTTTGAAAGATGTAGATAAACGCTGCCAGTTTGGACACACCTATTTATTATTTACGGTTTTATTTTTTTGTAAGAAGTCTCTTATGCTAAACATGCCATGTTTATTTAATCAAAATACAGTAAAAACAGCACTGTTGTTAAATATTATTACCATTTAAAATAAGTTTTGTATTTTATATATTTCAAAATGTAATTTATTTCTGCGATGCAAAGCTGAATTTTTCAGTCCAGTCAGTTTTCAGTGTCACATGATCCTTTA